CCCTGCCCCGCGCCCCTGCCCTGCCCGGTGCCGGCGCGGGTCGCACGTGCCGCTGCCTTGAGCAGAACCGAACAGAACAAAGCAAGGGCGGTGCGTGCGGGCTGCGCGAAACCGCAAAAAAGATCACAAATCCATCTTTGAAAGAGCTGAGTTCTAACGCAATTAATTAGCAAGCACCGCCATTAATAACGTAGGACAGTCCTTTGTAAGAAACGTCTGCGGATAAAGCTAACACGTTTACCTAGCACACACATGCACACACATGCACACACACGAGCACACACACTGGAACTGAAAGGCCCGCACCCAGGCAGGGAAGGGAGGTCCTGCAGGCTCCAGCGCATGGCCCTGCTCTCCCCAAGGTTCTCTGGACACAGCAGGGCGCCCTGACCACAACCTGCCCCACCGGAGTTTCTTCAGTGTGCAGAGACCTTGACACCTGTGGTCAGCCCCACACCTGCCTCACGCACTCCGGTAGCTACTTCCTAACTCTGCGTGGGCAGGGCACTTGCAGGTGAGCATTTGTGGGGTCAGCCCTGCAAGGCCACGTTGCAAACGGGACCTCAGGACTCTATGCCTGACTCTGGGCAGACAGCTGCTCTGTTTTTTCCTGACGCACCATCATTATTACCTTTGATATGCATGTTCTCTAGCACCCACAGCAAGGCCAAGGCCAAGTAAACCCACACAAATCCACTAGGCTCTCTGTCCCATTACACTCCTTCAGGCTGGGCCTCCAGAAGTGCATCGAAGTCCTGGGATGACACAGCGCGAGAGCAAATACACCAAGCCCTGCGAGACAGGAAAGGAATTCCGTAAATATCAGTTGAATCTGGAAACTTTTAAATTCATCAAAACTCAATGACCTTAGGAGGCAGAAGAAGATATCAACTGCCTTTTTTCCTATTTTAATGCAGCTCAATTTCTTTAAAAATATCTGTTCCATTATTCACATTTTAAATCTTTAATTATTCTTAACTTTCTTTTTACCAGCACTCCCCTTCCAAGGACAGTGCCCCAGAGGCTGTGTTTACTCTCTGAAGCTTTTCTGCATTTTAAATATAAGGTATCAAAGTGAACTCCACTTTTTATATATTTTTTGTTCATGAAAACAGTTCAAAGAAACAGTTCACACAAAAATGAAATTGTTCATCCACACTTAAAAAGAGGGGGGGAAATACAAAAATTCTTCTGAGGCAAATTCTTCTGAAAAATTTGTTTCCACAAATTCCTAAACTTCTAAACAGAGCCAACTGTTTGGAAAACGGAGACCCAAAGCTGCTTCTTTCTAAAATAACAAGGTAATTAAAGCAAACATATCCTGGAAAACTGCCTCAGTTCCCCACTGTTCTGTTAGTGAGAGTATCAAAAAGACACTAGCCATTTTGATAAGGCTGATTTAGTAGACAATGCATAACCCCAGCACTGCTTTTTTATCAGTAGTTTCAGTGTACCAAGAATTTTTGGTAAGTTTTTTTGGGTATTTAAAAGTTCTGTCATTTGTTTTTCAGAATTTTTCAAGAAGAAACTATTTCGGTATATTAAAGTGGTTATCTCTGGGACAGTGAGATTCTGTGTCTTCTGGGTTCTTTTTGCTTATTTTAGGTGATTTTTTCGTATAATTTATTGTAAATTATAAATAATTATTAATAGGTTATTATAAGTTAATGTAAATTATAATTGATATTAATTATAAAAATTAAATAAATTTTTATTTTTTACATTTGATCTTAGCTGAAAGGCCGAGAAGCAATAAATAATTTTCAATTTTAATGAAATAATACATATAACTGAAAAATTTCAATGGGCATATGAACTAGTTGAAAAATAAAAAGAAAAAACGGGTAATTTCTTGTGACATTATTCTTTTCAGCAAACATGCGACCTCCCTTAGGTGCCCCAGTCGAACTGCCCTCCTAATGTCACTAGTCTGTTCATGCAGTACTGGCACTGTCGCCAGCACACTCCGTTTGTGCCATGTTCATGGCTTAACGCAAGTTCCTGTGTTACACGCTCTACATGGGAAGTTAGACGCATGGAGACTGAGAGTGGTAAGTACTTTTTATACAGAAAATGCACACGCTGCCTTCATATCTCCTGCTTAAGGCCCACCTTCTCTGCACTTTAGTAAAAACAAAACATTTTTGCTCTCCAGTGACAGTTTTGAAAAATTACCCATTGCCATCTCTTTTTAAGATACTTTTGTTATATTTTACAACATTCTAAGTTTTTTATTTTAAAAAGAAGACAGCCTGGTTTTAATTTTTGAAAATCATCTGGTGGGGATCTATCTTCCACAGGAAAGGTACGCTCCTACTCTAAGACTTTAAAAGTCTCCTTGACAGAACACAGCAGGTAAAAAATAACTTTTGAAAGACTGTTACAATTAAACATCTTTGAACTTTGTCAAATAAATATATTCCAAAATAAACTGTCGAGTATCTCAAAATGCTAACACAATGTTTAATAGCCAAAAACTGGGAAGAAATGGACTGTGGGGTAAGGAAAATTTTAACTATTAATGCTATGTGTGCATAACATGTTAAAAACTATAACATCGATCATGGAAAGACCATCAGGATAAGAAAATTTAACTTAATCCATGTAGTTTTCCTCCAATCAAATACAAATCCAGCATTTCACAAAAAATAGTATATACCAAGTTAAAATAAAATGTCAGAATTTTTTGTCATAGAAATGATTTCTTTTGATGTGGATAGGAAACTCACTTGTTCTTTAACCACTTAGACACAGGCATCGAGGTCTTTAGACTCGGACCTTGGGCAACAACCTGTGTAGATGGAATGTTTTCTGCAGTGGTCCTCTGTCTCTACTACATGGTCCCCAAGCCACCAGTGAGACAGAGGTGACCTGTGACCTTTCTTTCCCCACAGAAACAGCCACTGTTGCATCAGACCCACTGCCTCCAACTGCCTGTCTTTGTCCAGTCTTGTTCCTACACACGTCCATCCAAAGTCCACCTTTCTAGGTGCCTAATTATCAAAACCCATCCCCAGAAGAGGCAACGTTATGGTCTCCCAGAGGCGAGAGCCTGATCACTGACCACAGCAGGCCTCCAGCTCCTAGGACAAGTTTTCCGTCTTGCACACCTTTGCACCTTGTGCTACACCCTGTGGGGTGGGTGCTCTGCATGTATTTTCCCCACACACATTTCCCCCACTCTTCCTAGTCTGTCGAGGAACTCATCTAGGAGTTCGAGGTTCTACAGCCCGGGAGACTCTTCACTGATAACCTACATTCTAGAAGGAAAAAGGCAAAAGAACGATGTTTCCCATTTTTTATCCTGAGCTATTACCTAAAGTTAATACAAGGAAAGCAAGTGACTGAAAGAACTGCTTTGCCTTCCTCCTAGACTTCGACAGAGGACCACTGTAGGGATGACACTGTGAAGCCTGTCTGGACGTGGCCCTGGCTGGGTGGCTCAGTTGGCTGGAGCATCGTCCCGAACACAGAAAGGTTTCGGGTTTGACTCCGTCAGGGCACATACCGAGGTTGAGGGTTTGATCCCTGGTTGGGGTGCATATGGAAAGCAACAGATCAATGTTTCTCTCTCACATCCATGTTTCTCTCTCTCTCTCTCTTTTCCTCTCTCTAAAGTCAATAAAAACATATCCTCAGGTAGGAATTTAAAAAAAAAAAAAAATCCTATCCGGGTTTGGCTTTTAACAATTTTATGCACACAGGATTCCACTGGTACAGAAAGGGAAAGTAGTCCCCCTGATGTATCAACAGAGAGGTAAAAGGAACTCAAGTTTCACTCACTCTGTCTTAATCCAAATTATTAATTCTTTCTTTCAACAAAGCAAGTTGTGAGAGCATCATGGGAAACTTTTAAAACAACTGCGTAAATTCTGATTGATGGCCATATAGGAAATCCTTGGAAAATAACTATAACCAACAGCTGCAAACACCAACTGTCTAGATTCGACATTTGTTATATTGATTTGGAACAAATACAGTAGTTCCCCTTATCTGCGGTTTCACTTTCCTGGGTTTCAGTTACCCAAAGTGACCGGGGGTCCAAAATTATTAAATGAAAAATCCCAGAAATAATTCATAAGTTATAAATCGCATGTCATTCTGAGTGGCCTGATGAAATCCTGTGATGTCCCGCCCAGGAATCAACCCTTTTCCAGCGTCTCTGTTGTGGATACACTGCCCGCCCATTAGCCACTTAGTCTCGGTTATCAGATCAACTGTTGAAGTATCACAGTGTTCGTGTTCAAGTGACCCTTATTTTATTAATAACGGCTCATTCCCTTCAGTTCATCATCAGGGAGGTGTCTCACATCACTGAAAGGAGGGTGAGTCCAGTACAGTAAAATACTTTGAGATCACATTCCCAACTGTTCTATTTTAATCTCTTACTGTGCCTAGTTTATAAGTTAAACTTTATCATAGGTATGTACGTATAGGAAAAACATAGTGTTTATAGGGTTCAGTACTATCTGTGGTTTCAGGTATCCACTGGGGGTCTTAAAACAGGCCCCACGGATAAAGGGGGACTGCTGTAGAGCTAAATCATTTAGATGGCTTTTTAGTAGACCTGCCCTTTTTTGGTGTGTAATGACCATGACAATAAAAACCAGTCTTTACATTTGGAAGTCAATATAAAAATACAAAGCATTAACTCACTGACATCCCTGTTATTGCTCCATCACCCTGAACCCAGATCGCATCTCTTCTACTAGTTTCCATAGAAAAACTATCTCCAAGAATTTCATGGTTTTCCCCAACTTAACAGGAGATTAAAGGGCTCCTGAGGAGTTGAATGGCCCCCACTGGTTCTCCATTCCTCTCTTCCCTCCATGGGAACTGAGTGAGCACCTCCTGTTGCTTAAGCTCCTTGGGGTTTCCCTATGTACACTAGTTCTTTCAAACACACACACACAGTCTCCAAAACGCGTCCCAGAGCTTCTTCCCCTTGACCCACAACCTTTGCTCTCGTTTCTCAACGAGCTCTTGCCTTCTCCTACCCTTGGTCTTTTCATCGCCAATTGAGATGACCCCTTGCACCTGGTAACACGGGGCATTTTCTGCTTTAACTATGACCTCTAAATTTTGCAATTGACATGTCCCACCCACTGCAGTTCACGGCCTCAGCCGATGTGCACGGGATCCCAGCTTTGGCTTACCTCTGCCTTACCTACTCATCCAACCCACGGAGGTATATCTGACATCAACTCCACTTACACAATAGCTGCCAAAACTCTTTTGTGAGCTCCAGAACTATAATCCAAACATGCTAGTGTGGGTTCCCAGGTTCTTCAAATGCAATTAGAATAACTTGCTACCTCCACATGCTCCTTTCTCAATTCTCTCCACTTATGGAGTCATCATGCCTCTAACCACCCAACCCAGAAACCTCAATTTTCCTAGACTCATCCCTTCTGCTTAACCCTCTGTGTCCATGTAGAGAAAAAATTCTGTCGATTCTACTCCCTCAAGATCTTTCGTATACGCATCTCCTCTCCCCTCTCCTTTCACTCACCAGGTTTAGGCCCTTACCTCTGACGTCTCTCCAGCACCTTCAAGTCTTGACACACAGTCTACGAGGATAGTAACCCCTTTCCCACCTTCTCCCAGTGCTCAGTACCACGTGTCTCACACACAACCGGCCCTCAATAAATACTCATTAATTACAGAAGAGACTTCAAATCC